AGACCCAGACCCCGAGACAGAGAGGAGACCAGGACGTTTAGAGAACCAGTCAAGACCCAGACCCCGAGACAGAGAAGAGACCAGGACGTTTAGAGGACGAGTCAAGACCCAGACCCCGAAACAGAGAGGAGACCAGGACGTTTAGAGGACGAGTCAAGACCCAGACCCCGAAGACAGAGAAGAGATCAGGACGTTTAGAGGACGAGTCAAGACCCAGACCCCGAGACAGAGAGGAGACCAGGACGTTTAGAGGACGAGTCAAGACCCAGACCCCGAGACAGAGAGGAGACCAGGACGTTTAGAGGACGAGTCAAGACCCAGACCCCGAGACAGAGAAGAGACCAGGACGTTTAGAGGACGAGTCAAGACCCAGACCCCGAGACAGAGAAGAGACCAGGACGTTTAGAGGACGAGTCAAGACCCAGACCCCGAGACAGAGAAGAGACCAGGACGTTTAGAGGACGAGTCAAGACCCAGACCCCGAGACAGAGGGGAGACCAGGACCCCGAGACAGAGAGTAGATCAGGACGTTTAGAGGATGAGTCAAGACCCAGACCCCGAGACAGAGACGACACCAGGACGTTTAGAGGACGAGTCAAGACCCAGACCCCGAGACAGAGAAGAGACCAGGACATTTAGAGGACGAGTCAAGACCCAGACCCTGAGACAGAGAAGAGACCAGGACCCCGAGACAGAGAGTAGACCAGGACGTTTAGAGAACCAGTCAAGACCCAGACCCCGAGACAGAGAAGAGACCAGGACGTTTAGAGGACGAGTCAAGACCCAGACCCCGAGACAGAGAAGAGACCAGGACGTTTAGAGGACGAGTCAAGACCCAGACCCCAAGACAGAGAGTAGACCAGGACGTTTAGAGAACCAGTCCAGACCCAGACCTCGAGACAGAGAGGAGACCAGGACGTTTAGAGGACGAGTCAAGACCCAGACCCCGAGACAGAGAGGAGACCCAGACCCCGAGACGAGACCAGGACGTTTAGAGGACGAGTCAAGACCCAGACCAGAGACGAGACCAGGACGTTTAGAGGACGAGTCAAGACCCAGACCCCGAGACAGAGAGTAGACCAGGACGTTTAGAGGACGAGTCAAGACCCAGACCCCGAGACAGAGAAGAGACCAGGACGTTTAGAGGACGAGTCAAGACCCAGACCCCGAGACAGAGGGGAGACCAGGACCCCGAGACAGAGAGTAGACCAGGACGTTTAGAGGATGAGTCAAGACCCAGACCCCGAGACAGAGAGGAGACCCAGACCCCGAGACAGAGACGAGACCAGGACGTTTAGAGGACGAGTCAAGACCCAGACCCCGAGACAGAGAAGAGACCAGGACGTTTAGAGGACGAGTCAAGACCCAGACCCCGAGACAGAGAAGAGACCAGGACCCCGAGACAGAGAGTAGACCAGGACGTTTAGAGAACCAGTCAAGACCCAGACCCCGAGACAGAGAAGAGACCAGGACGTTTAGAGAACCAGTCAAGACCCAGACCCCGAGACAGAGAAGAGACCAGGACGTTTAGAGGACGAGTCAAGACCCAGACCCCAAGACAGAGAGTAGACCAGGACGTTTAGAGAACCAGTCAAGACCCAGACCCCGAGACAGAGAAGAGACCAGGATGTTTAGAGAACCAGTCAAGACCCAGACCCCGAGACAGAGAGTAGACCAGGACGTTTAGAGAACCAGTCCAGACCCAGACCCAGACCCCGAGACAGAGAGGAGACCAGGACGTTTAGAGGACGAGTCAAGACCCAGACCCCGAGACAGAGAGGAGACCAGGACGTTTAGAGGACGAGTCAAGACCCAGACCCAGAGACGAGACCAGGACGTTTAGAGGACGAGTCAAGACCCAGACCCCGAGACAGAGAGTAGACCAGGACGTTTAGAGAACCAGTCAAGACCCAGACCCCGAGACAGAGAGGAGACCATGACGTTTAGAGGACGAGTCAAGACCCAGACCCCGAGACAGAGACGAGACCAGGACGTTTAGAGGACGAGTCAAGACCCAGACCCCGAGGTGAGACCAGGACGTTTAGAGGACGAGTCAAGACCCAGACCCCGAGACAGAGAGGAGACCAGGACGTTTAGAGGACGAGTCTAGACCCAGACCCCGAGACAGAGACAAGACCAGGACGTTAGGAGAACGAGTCAAGACCCAGACCCCGAGACAGAGACAAGACCAGGACGTTAGGAGAACGAGTCAAGACCCACACATAGGACTGGCAGTAGATAACCTCCCTAAGGGGGCCCCACATGATGGGGTGCCGCCTGACATCAAGCCCCTGGTGGATACAGCTCAGGGTGCCAACAGACTCTAGAACCCTCCCCCCCCCCAGGTGACTGAAAGAAGAAGATGGTGGATCCAAGCGTCTGTAATGAGTTTCCTCTGGAGGGGGTCTGGACTGAAGAACACCTCTTCAAACCGGGCCGAGGAAGAGTCCGGACTTAAGGGTGAGGCGTTTACGGCCTCGTGTGACGGCGCCCGGAGTCCGCTGCTTCTTTTCTGTTTAATATTTCTTTTTATTTACACTTCACACTCAGGCTTCACTTTAATTTACAACCCTCTGAACTCACTAAGGACAAAAGACTGATCTGAAAATACAACAGATCGATATTTGTTTCAGTTTGTTTCTGCATTAATCTCTAAAACAACTTCAGACCTCTGTAACAAACCATCAATCAGAACTAATGTCGTAGTATCTGAACCTCTCCAACTCCAAAGATCTGCCCGCCTCACCATCTCTCTTCATTCTATACTCTGCTCGTATGAAAAATAAACCGCCCAGCGCATCACAAGGTGTCCACTTCCTGCCATTGAGGACGTCCAAAGAAAACGCTGTCTGCGGCGAGCTCATGGCATCCTTAAAGACTCCTCCCACCCTGCCCACAGACTGTTTACCCTCCTGCCCTCCGGCAGGCGCTTCAGAAGCCTCCGGACCAGAACCAGCAGACTGAGGAACAGCTTTTTCCCCAGAGCTGTTTCTCTACTGAACTCTGAACTCTGTCTCTCTCTCTCTCTCTCCGCACCCTGCTGACCCCCCCCCCCCTTTCCCCTGCACATCACCTCACACCCATCATCCCCCCACCACTCCTCCTGGTCACACACACATCTCTCATCCACCTGTATTATTGTATTATAGTATGTTCATATTATGTCCATATTCTGTATATTATCTGTAATCTAGTATAGCATGCTCACTGCACCTTAATCTGTATATTATAATCCTAAGAATATACTTATATTTATAACATTTATTTATATTTATAGCATCCCATTAATCCAGCCATATATACCTAATAATTCACTTTTGTTTTTTAGTCTACATCTGTAGATTTTGTAATTACTGTACACTGCACATTTCTGCCTATTGCACTTCTGGTGAGATGCCAAATGTTACTCTACACTTGTATATGTGTAATGACAATAAAGTTAAAGCTCATCTAAAACACCACTGGTATCAACATCGGGGGGAATGATTTTAATGATTTGTTATGAACAGTTTCACAACAAGTCTGTCAATCCCTCAGGGGATGAAAAGAATCAAAGGTTTTCAGGTTATAAGGTAAACCTTTCCTTCACACCTGAGTTCTGCCCCTGTGGAAACCAAAAGGTATGAAAGATCTTCAGTTAAACATCCGGACTCCTTTAAAAGAGACCTTTAAATAACCCACACCTCATTTATAAAGAGATGGACAGTCTTACCTGTTTCACTTTGAGGCAGATGAATATTTGACCTAAACTATTATTATCAGCTTTACCACTTCAGAGGTGGAGCCCCTACCCTCTGAAACATCTCCTCCACAGGTCTTAAAGGGGAGTTTGTTTTCCACTGGACAGCTGATCCTCCATCAAACACCAACAGGAGAGAGAGAGCTGACCTCTGACCTCTGCTCAGTTTAAAAACAACAGCTTTATCTAAGTGTGGAAGATATCAAATGATTCACATTAAAACATAAGACGTACATCACACCAGATGAAAGAAAGAAATAACTGATCCACTTATCGTGAGTTTATCTCCACATTTTATTCTGAAAGTAAAAACAACATCCTGTCTGCCAGTGAAGTTAGAGACGCTCATCGAAGAAGAACTGGATCCGAACTTCAGGATTTACTGTCAATGGAACGAGACAGCTTCAGTCCTCTCTGAGTGTGACTGTGGAGAAGAAGCCCCGCCCCCTTATTGTTTATTATTGTTGTAGTGTTCATCGTCTCGTGATGAGTTTGTAGATTTATGTTGAATAAGTGGCGTACGCTTGTTTTGTTTTTTGTTTTGAAAAAAAAAAATATATATATATATTTAAAATTTAAAAAATGAGGACAGTAGAAAATCTCCCTAAGGGGGCCCCGCCTGACAGCGCTCAGCGGTCCAGGGTCGCTGAAAGTCTTTTTTTTTAACATAGTGGCGATAAACGCTGGTTGGACGCCCCCGGTGAGTTTAGCTCAGGGCGCCATCAGATTCTGGACTCGCCCATAAACATCAAGGATCACAGCGATACTGAAACTAACTGGAGTCACGTGTGCCCCCCCCCCCCCCCCCCCCCAGGACCCGTGGAAACTGAAAACGTGTTTTTGAAAGGAAATTAAAATCTGTGATTTTGTTTGTGAATTACAAAATAAAAGAAGTGTTTTATAATGTTCACTTTGAAGAATCTTATTTTGAAATCTGGTTTTATGATTCATGAAAGGGTTAATAATAAAAAGATTCAAATCAATTAAAATCATTTCTGGTTTTCAGTTTGACTGATTGTCCGCTTCAGGCTTCCATAGAAATAAATCACAACATGTTAATATTTATAACTAAGGTGTGACCGGATGTTCGGTTTACCAAAATAAAATATAAATATAAATATAAATACTGTAAATGAGCTCACGTGGTGAGTCTGTGAGGAGGATGTTCCAGAGGAGCAGCTGAGGATGCTGGGATATTTTTAGGATGACGATGATGACGAGGAGGGAGGAGCTCTGACGTCACAGTGTAGCTCCGCAGTGCTGCTGTTTGACCGGATAAAGCACCGGGAGCTGCGGGAAGGATCTCTATTTCTCTACTTTTCTCCTCCTCTTCCTCCTCTGCTTCTCCTCTTCCTCCCTCTCTTCCTCCCTCTCTTTCTCTCTCTCTTTCTCTCTCTCTCTCTCTCTCTCTCTCTCTCTCTTCTGGGCTCCATGCGGGTTTCTCTGTCCCGCTCCGCCGCACACACCGGGCCTTCCTGTAGCCGCCGCCCCGGCCTGCCTCTCCCTCCGGCCGGCGGAGCCTCCCAGCTGAGCCCCGCTGAGGTGGCCTGTTGCCGGGGAGAGATGCTCCTCCCGGACTGAGGGCAGGAAGATGTCCGGCAGGATGCCTCTGACCCCGGTCAGCGAGAGGGACCCGGAGCAGGTCAGATTCATTATTCACTTGTTTTTATTATCTTTGGACTTTGACCACTTCTCAAACCAGTTTCCTTTACTGGTTCTTCACACTCTGAGCTGGGACTGAAACGGATTCCCAGTAAAGAAGTTGATTTAAATGTTCGTGTGGCAGTTCAAACAGAGAGCACACTGTTGGGTTAAAAACCAGCTGAATCCGTCTGAGCTCTCTGATTGGCTGCTGAGAGGCACGTTAGCAGCCGTGGTGTGTTCAGGTGATAGAGGATCAAATCAGATGTGAGGTCACCTGAACGCCTCACAGGTCGATGCGGGTCATGTGTTCTCATTCACTTCTTTATGTGTTCAACCTGACCTGCAGGGGGCGCCACTGAGCACAGCACACCTCCTATTAGCACACCTATTAGCATAATAAGGGGCGGGGCTGAGTTGACAGACAGCTTAAAGCCCCGCCTCATCTCCGCATCTTTTCCTGTTTCTTAAGTTTCGTATTTCCAATATGGCGACCGCGTCTCATTAGAAAGCGATGATGACGTCCACATGTTGTACAGTCTGTGGGGAGAACCAATCAGCAACCTCTGCTGTTAATAAATGAAGCCGATGCTGAAGTGTAACATCCTGCAGTTCCTGGAGTGTCCACTAGAGGCTGGCTGCAGAAGCACAGGAAGTCACATACACACCCATTCTAAAAAGCCTGTTTTTACAGCAGAGATGAACATGTTTACAGCCTGGTTCAAAAAACCAAATAGGTGTGATTAGCTCATGTCTGGATGGACACACACTGTACGGGGGGTGAATGTTTTGATGACTCATCAGTTTTGATTTGATGAAGGAGAAGAGTTAGGGGCGTGGCTGATATGACTCTTAAGCCCCACCTCTTTGTCTGTTAACAAGCTGAAGTTATTCAGACGGAGGAAGGTTTCAGAAACCTGGATCAGAACCAGACTCATGTAGAACAGAAACCAGGATCAGAACCAGACTCATGTTGAACAGACAGAAACCTGGATCAGAACCAGACTCATGTAGAACAGACAGAAACCTGGATCAGAACCAGACTCATGTTGAACAGACAGAAACCTGGATCAGAACCAGACTCATGTAGAACAGAAACCTGGATCAGAACCAGACTCATGTAGAACAGACAGAAACCTGGATCAGAACCAGACTCATGTCTGGATCAGAACCAGACTCATGTTGAACAGACAGAAACCTGGATCAGAACCAGACTCATGTAGAACAGAAACCAGGATCAGAACCAGACTCATGTAGAACAGACAGAAACCTGGATCAGAACCAGACTCATGTTGAACAGACAGAAACCTGGATCAGAACCAGACTCATGATGAACAGACAGAAACCTGGATCAGAACCAGACTCATGTTGAACAGACAGAAACCTGGATCAGAACCAGACTCATGTAGAACAGAAACCTGGATCAGAACCAGACTCATGTTGAACAGACAGAAACCTGGATCAGAACCAGACTCATGTAGAACAGAAACCAGGATCAGAACCATACTCATGTAGAACAGACAGAAACCTGGATCAGAACCAGACTCATGTTGAACAGACAGAAACCTGGGTCAGAACCAGACTCATGTAGAATAGACAGAAACCCGGACCAGAACCAGACTCATGATGAACAGACAGAAACCTGGACCAGAACCAGACTCATGTAGAATAGACAGAAACCCGGACCAGAACCAGACTCATGTTGAATAGACAGAAACCTGGATCAGAACCAGACTCATGTTGAACAGACAGAAACCTGGATCAGAACCAGACTCACGATGAACAGACAGAAACCTGGACCAGAACCAGACTCATGTTGAACAGACAGAAACCTGGATCAGAACCAGACTCATGTTGAACAGACAGAAACCTGGACCAGAACCAGACTCACGATGAACAGACAGAAACCTGGACCAGAACCAGACTCATGTTGAACAGACAGAAACCTGGACCAGAACCAGACTCACGATGAACAGAAACCTGGATCAGAACCAGACTCATGTTGAACAGACAGAAACCTGGACCAGAACCAGACTCACGATGAACAGACAGAAACCTGGATCAGAACCAGACTCATGTTGAACAGACAGAAACCTGGACCAGAACCAGACTCACGATGAACAGACAGAAACCTGGATCAGAACCAGACTCACGTTGAACAGACAGAAACCTGGATCAGAACCAGACTCACGATGAACAGACAGAAACCTGGACCAGAACCAGACTCACGTTGAACAGACAGAAACCTGGACCAGAACCAGACTCAAGTTGAACAGACAGAAACCTGGACCAGAACCAGACTCACGTTGAACAGACAGAAACCTGGATCAGAACCAGACTCACGATGAACAGACAGAAACCTGGATCAGAACCAGACTCATGATGAACAGACAGAAACCTGGATCAGAACCAGACTCACGTTGAACAGACAGAAACCTGGATCAGAACCAGACTCATGTTGAACAGACAGAAACCTGGATCAGAACCAGACTCATGTAGAACAGACAGAAACCTGGATCAGAACCAGACTCATGATGAACAGACAGAAACCTGGACCAGAACCAGACTCATGTAGAACAGACAGAAACCCGGATCAGAACCAGACTCATGTTGAATAGACAGAAACCTGGATCAGAACCAGACTCATGTTGAACAGACAGAAACCTGGAACAGAACCAGACTCATGTTGAACAGACAGAAACCTGGACCAGAACCAGACTCACGAAGAACAGACAGAAACCTGGATCAGAACCAGACTCATGTTGAACAGACAGAAACCTGGACCAGAACCAGACTCACGATGAACAGAAACCTGGATCAGAACCAGACTCACGTTGAACAGACAGAAACCTGGACCAGAACCAGACTCATGTTGAACAGACAGAAACCTGGACCAGAACCAGACTCATGTTGAACAGACAGAAACCTGGATCAGAACCAGACTCACGATGAACAGACAGAAACCTGGACCAGAACCAGACTCACGATGAACAGACAGAAACCTGGACCAGAACCAGACTCATGTTGAACAGACAGAAACCTGGACCAGAACCAGACTCATGTTGAACAGACAGAAACCTGGATCAGAACCAGACTCATGTTGAACAGACAGAAACCTGGACCAGAACCAGACTCACGATGAACAGACAGAAACCTGGATCAGAACCAGACTCACGATGAACAGACAGAAACCTGGACCAGAATCAGACTCATGTTGAACAGACAGAAACCTGGATCAGAACCAGACTCATGATGAACAGACAGAAACCTGGATCAGAACCAGACTCATGTTGAACAGACAGAAACCTGGATCAGAACCAGATTCACGATGAACAGACAGAAACCTGGATCAGAACCAGACTCACGATGAACAGACAGAAACCTGGATCAGAACCAGACTCATGTTGAACAGACAGAAACCTGGATCAGAACCAGACTCACGATGAACAGACAGAAACCTGGATCAGAACCAGACTCATGTTGAACAGACAGAAACCTGGATCAGAACCAGACTCATTTCTTCTCGGGTCTCTTTGCGTCCTGACTCTCTGCAGAGTTTCGCCCTTTGGCTCCGCCCCCCTCCGGCTGTCTGTTTCATATTGATTATTCCCAGAATGCACTGCAGCATGATCCTGAAGTTGGTCTCCTTCACTCAGAGACAGCAGGAGTCGACCCCTCCCCCGCTCCCTGTGTGTGAGACGGTGTGACCTTTGACCCCAGTCACTGTGTGTGGTACGGTGTGACCTTTGACCCCGGTCACTGTGTCATGTGCGGTCCAAGAGCGAATATATCACGTACCAGCTGATTCTCTCTCTCTTTTATAACATATGTGGGCGGTCGATAACATACCTGTGCAGCCTGCCCAATGTGTCGTCTTTGTTTGGCAAACTCTGTAACCATTAACAAAGTCATTCTGCTGAGTTAAGGAGCTAGCATTAGCACGTAGCAGGGAGGGACTGATTAGCCCAAAAAAAAAAAAGAAAGTAATATATCGATTTTTGGAAGTTATGAATCTCCATCTTTACATGAATCGATGTGTCACCTCTAGACAGAAGGTAAAGAGGGTCCTCGTGGACCCCGTGCTGTAGAGATGGGACGATTTGATGTCACGATGATTGATCCCAGATGAATTACGATACTTTAGCGAATAGATTTTTTTTTTGTCCCAGCTCACTGCACAACTTACAGCGTGCAATCGGGCGGAAATTAGGTCCGTCTTTAAAATCAGTTACTTGACTGAAATCGTTCTGAAGTTTCTCCGGGTCTTAAAGATCGTCTCTTTATTAACGCCTCTCTTTAATGGATCCTTTGGGTTTCATCGTTCTTGTTCTTTGTCTCTTTGTAAAGTTAAAGTGTTGCTTAAACATCATCATCACCTTGTTGTGAGAGAAACCCCAGACTGATGAAGAGATTAAAGTCCACATGGACGCTTCAGTGAGTCTCTGTGATGTCATAGTGTAACTGTAGAGGTGTTGGTGTCCTCGCTGTCGGCTCCTCTGGCTGAATCAGACGCAGTCAGACTGGTTTCTGTCGGCTCTGGTTTCTCTGACAGACTCCGGCCTGCAGCAGGTCTCACACATCACTCTGGACTAAAACCAGACCCAGACTCCTGCAACATGATGATCAAAGTGCGTTCACTCAAAGTTGTCGTTTTTGTCCCCAACAGGCTCCGGTTGTTATTGTAAGTGTGTGACATCATCACGTTAAGGATCCCTGCAGAGAGAGACCTTTACGTTACAGAGGGAGATGAATTTATTAAACAGCTGTTACATCGCTCTCTACAAACATACCACACTCACAGGACACACAAGCTGTTGGTCTGCATGGATTTGTTTTGTTTCTTTGTGTTGAGTTAGATCTAAAAGTACAGTATCATCTGCATAGAGCCGATTAATCAGCCAGCCCATAATATCAACAGTGACTCTCAGTATCGGCTACTTTTATTACAGATATACACCGATATTACAGATTTATTCACCAGTCAGATATCATTTAATCTGAGTTTCATTGTGTTACACTTACAGTTCTCTGTCTCCAGCAGGGGGCGCTGTATGGATCACAACAGACATCATCACTCTGCAGAGAGTCGAGCGATGATGCTCGTTCGTGCTCAGTTACTTTCCAGCTGAGCGGCCATCTTGTCTTCATTGTAAAACTTTTTAAAGTGTTTGATAACTGAGGGATCAACACAATAAATGTGTTTATCTATATTTATCTCTACAGATCGAAGATAGATCATATATTGGTATCGATTTTTTTCCTCTCCCTAATATTGACATCGGCCCCAAAAATCTCATATCAGTCAGGCCCTAGTTTTCACTGGTTAAAAACACGGTATCATATACATATAGATTACATATAGATTAAAATGCAGAACAGTATCTTCAGTATCAGCTGCATTTTGAGATCATGTCTGAACAGTAAATGTCCAGATACATGTCTCTGTGGCACGCCAAACCTGCTTCATTCTGTATTCAAACCTTTTCATTTAGAAGAATTCTGTGTCTTGTCTTTTTCAGCCAAAGTCCTCCGACGGCCTCCCAGATCCACCAGCCCCGCCCACAAAATCAGCAAGTCGTCACAATATTGCGCCATGTCGCAGCTCCGTGTCATCCTCCGCAGACGAGCAGCCACACATCGGAAACTACCGACTGATGAAAACCATCGGAAAGGGAAACTTTGCCAAAGTCAAACTGGCCCGACACACTCTGACCGGCCGAGAGGTGAGAACACATCGAGGATATCAATAATACCTCTGTCCAAAATGTTTACCTGTAAACATAAACATCTGCCAACTCACTGTTTACCTGTAAACATCTGCCGACTCACTGTTCACCTGTAAACATCTGCCAACTCACTGTTTACCTGTAAACATCTGCCAACTCACTGTTTACCTGTAAACATCTGCCGACTCACTGTTCACCTGTAAACATCTGCCGACTCACTGTTCACCTGTAAACATAAACATCTGCCGACTCACTGTTCACCTGTAAACATCTGCCGACTCACTGTTCACCTGTAAACATCTGCAGACTCACTGTTCACCTGTAAACATAAACATCTGCCGACTCACTGTTCACCTGTAAACATCTGCAGACTCACTGTTCACCTGTAAACATAAACATCTGCCGACTCACTGTTCACCTGTAAACATCTGCCGACTCACTGTTCACATGTAAACATCTGCCGACCCACTGTTTACCTGTAAACATCGTCTGTTTCAGTTTCCATACGGATCCTTCTTATTAAATTTGAAGCATGTTAGTTGTTTGTTTATTAAAAGCTGGACTCTAGGCGTCCCAGATGTTTGGTTCCAGATGTTTGTGATGGAGTAAACGAGATAAAGGTGGTAACAAGGATCTGAACTGCTCTTTAATGTCTTTAGGAAAGTGCTGCTCCAACTTGATTTCATTAACTTCCATGTTTCCAGGAAGTGTTTCCAATAAAAACCTTTTAAACTGTCGACACAGAAAGAAATCAGACTGAGCTGAACAGACATAACAAGTCAAATCTGATAAACACGGTTAATGAAGCTGTGGTCCACATCAGGTCACCGGAAACCTCCAGTACTAAAAGGTTTATTTATTCAAAACGTCCATGCATCTTCCTCTTATCCAAGGTTGGGTGGCTGTGCCAGCAGACAAAGTAAGTCAGGCTCCTCCTCCTGGGGGCTCACTCCACACAAACTAGGGATCCCAAAGTGAGGTCAAACAGCTCAAAGGAACGATAACAAAGGTCAATGTGTGATGTCATAAGGTGGATATTACTTTGGACTCGTCAGCTGAGCTGTCTGAGAGTTTGTTAAAGTGAAATGAGACGTTCAAAGATGCAGCAGTGTCCTTCTTTTACATCACCGAGACTGCAGGGAGACACTGAGGACCACTATCTACAGAGAGCCTGAAGGGACAAAATAACATGATAATAATCAGGATTAGAATGATGCATTCATTTCAGACGTTATTAAAATTCCGATTATCGTGTTAACGCTGACAGTCCTCATATCAAAATTGCTCCATGGAGCTTCATACCATACAATATAATTTTAGTCATGATCAGGCATGGATGGTCAGAAAATGTTGCTGAATGCTGAAAACTCTTAACTCTTTCAGGGTATTAAAGTCCTGATCTGCAGGTAAATCTTATCACCAGGTGTGTTTCCTCCTCCTGCAGGTCGCCATCAAGATCATTGACAAAACTCAGCTGAACCCCACCAGCCTGCAGAAGGTAATCGTCTCACGTCTTCTCTGTTGACTCTTTACCCTAAACAAGTCTGTCAGTAAACCAGGTTACAACAGGTCTCCATGGTAACCAGAACACCTGTATGTAGAGAGAGTTTTAAAAGGTCCTCTTCCTCTAGATCCTCTCATTTGTACCTGTCTTTAACAGAAAACGCACTTCATCATCACACCTGAACATTTCTATATTTCACCTCACTTCTCTTTCCTTTGACTTGTCTTAAAGATTCAATGTTATTTATCACTTTTTTCTGTTACTGGGTTTTGTTTGCTAATAAAGGGAAGTCTTCCAAAACTGTGAAACTACTTTAAAACTACTTGAGGGTGAAAATAAAAAGCTTTCCAGCGTTATTATTCAAAACG